TGGTTTGCCTTGTGGCTTTTACTTTTTCTTGACTTGTAATCACATTTTACTGCTTCTTCGTATGTCTAGTAATTTTTTTTGTATTCCTGACATTGTCTCCACTGTTTGGAAATCTGAATAATGTTGTCATCCTTTAAAGGCTATTGCTGCTTTTTCTAGAAGATACTTGTCATTGGTGGGTCCTCTTGATATTGTTGAGTTTGATTTTGTTCTTTGTTAGAACTGATCTAGCTTGGGTTTTGTTTCTTTTTCCTTAGTCTCAGGGTATGAACCTTACTCTAGAGCATTATCCTTATTCCTAATACATGACCTTTCCAGGGTAATAACTGAATGTTTGAGATGCTTACTAAGTTCTCTCCATTCTGGCTTGACCATAATTTACCTTTGAGCTCTTTGAGACCTCTTACATTTGTATTAAGGTGTCAGACCCTCAGCAGCCACTCTGCCTATACACAAACACTGCAGCCCTCAGCCAAGAATCCGAGGACTCCTATTCAAATTTCTGAACAATTGTCCTCTACAATATCCTACCCCATAGCATCTCCAAATTCTGATTTCTGCCTCATCTGTCAATTTTGATTTGCTATATTTTATTTTTTTAAAGCTGGTTTGTGGAATACAAAGCTTTCTGAACAACACATAAGAGCTTTGAGACTGAAAGTTTTCATTGTCTGGCATCTCCCTAGTTGTACCATAGCCCTTTATGCACAAAAGTAACTTCTGATGATCTTAGAACCATTTTAAAGACAAAGTTGGTAGTTAACAGCCCTGGCTTGCTGAGTAACTGTTGCCTGAAGGAGCATATTGTATGTACTTTTCATAGCTGTTGGTATCTGAACATCATTTTTTGGGCCCCATATTTTTCCTATTTTAGCTGGTTGGTTGATCAAACAGTGTGGCTATGAAGCTGATACTACTTAACGATCTTTCACTGAAAATTCAGTTTAAAATGTGGTATTTAATCTATATAGTTAGAAGAAGAAGGTAAGAGCAAAAAATTGAAAGAAATCAGAGTTTCATTTACATTTATGATTGTGTTTTGTTTTGCTGGGATTTTTCGAGAACATAGTACCTTGTCATTGGCTTTCTTGACAAGATGCAGAGGAAAGGTCCAGATAGAGTTGAAACGGGTGCACCATGATTTGTATAAAAATAATGTGTATGCAGAGTATGGTTTTTTATTAAATCTGAGGCCAATTGATTAGTAAGACATTATATTTGGTATCTAAATTTAACTATGACATGATACCTTATCAATAACCATGTGAGACACATGAAATCAATCACACCATTATTGCTCTAAAATTTCTTTCATCCTATCCCTGAGGATTTGGTATTTCTCTTTCCTTTAGTAGCATGACTTAGCAAGTGATACACAATCCACCGCATGCAATTCAGAAACAAAATGAGCACAGTTTTATCTACTTGTGGCTAACTTCTTTGTTTTGGTCTTGTAAAGCCTTGTTACTCAAACTGCATTCTGGACCTGAAGCACTGATATCACCTGGGTGTTGGTTACAAATGAAGAACTACTGGCTCTCCTCCCCTGACCTACCAAATATTTTAAATAATACTCCCAGGTGATTTGGTGATTTTATTTGTTGGCACATGAAAGTTTAAGCCATGTTTTCACACAGTACTTGATGTTCTGCAAGAAAATACAGAATTTTGGTTATTTCTCCAGTGACAAATATTAATATTTGATTCACTATCAGTTTTACATACTTCTACTCTTTTTTTTCAATACCATAGCGTAATCTCTTTTAAAACATTAAAAATGTCAATTAAACTTAAAGTATGTAGAATCAAAATGCATACAACTTGAAAGCACAATTGCAGTGAATATATCAATAGCTAAGATCAGGTCTTCACATGTACAGATGATGACAACTGTGCCACAGCTGTCTCCTGGTTGACAGTAACCACACAATGCCATTAATTTTATAATGTTAAAATGTGGAAAATAAGGAGAAAAGTATATCCTAAAAATCGGCGACATAGAGTAAGTGATGAAAAACATCCTCATTCTTGATCTAGATTTGGGCTTTTCTGATGCCAGAAAGCAAGGTACTTGAGATACAACAACAATAAATGCAGCCCAAACATCCAGTGCAGGCCTTGTCTGTGTGGCATGCCTGGTCAGCAGAGTCTCCAACTAGTTTCCCAAAAATTGACAGAAGGCTGAGGATGCCACCTTAACAAAGAACAGGGGTTGAGCCCTCTAACCCACCTTGTAACTGGTCAAAGTCTCTGCTGCTTGTGAAAGGGACTTTCTGTGCTTTGCTGTCTACCAGAGCTTTCAGCCCCCCTGCATTTCTCTCCTGATGGAAAATACATTTGCCAAAGAAGAATTCTACTGGATTAAATAAAATTGCTATACTCCTCATCTTGATCTCTAGCATGAAAACACTAAGGAGTTAGGGGCCATGAATAAATGAACCCCTTAACAATCTTTCATCCAGTTTTCCCTGACTGACTTCAGACCCTGAAGCTCTTGAAGTTGGTAACATCTTGCTCCTCTTTGTGTTCCTGTATGCCTGCTTGAACTTTCCTTTCCAAGAAGTGGGAGGCATGTGGGGGATGGGAGGAAGAGGAGGAGAGAGAAAGAGAATTAATTAATTAGTTGATCTAATCTGGAAATCCTGGGATTTCTGTAGCAGCCACCTCTTTACACAAACTTCCTCCTCTGGTTCAACTCCAACAGGAAGATATGGCTTACTGTGTGGGTCATTTTACCATTTTCAGAACCAGCATGTGTAGAAATTTTACTTGGTGATATGTGTTGACCACATTGGTGATAAATTATAATCTCTGAAGGTCAGAGACAGGGTCAGTTTAACTCACTGCACATATCAACTCCAAATCTAAATGACTGTTAAACAAACGCCATTCACTGGTGTGAGTAGCTGTGTTTGTTCACAGCAGCTGGCTTTTAAAGGTCATCTTGTCTATTTCCACCCTACTCCTAATGGATATCCACTCTTCCTCTGTATCCCTCTGTACCAAGGCAGCACAGAAGTTGGAGAAGTCCTCCTGAGTCCCGTGGGAAGCAGACCACACTTCAGCAGAGATGCACAATGTGGCCTAGCTTGGCTAACAACAACCCACACGTTTTCCAACGTGTGAATATGGTGTTGCTCAGCCTCGAAGTAATGGATGTTGAAAGCTGACGCCAGAGTCCAATATCTAAAGACTTTGGCTATTGTACGTGCAGTTGCTATACAGGATGCTTCTAAGACAGAACGATGGGCTTATTCCATTCCACATGCCGAGCTATTGATCAGGACTAACAATGGTGCTGTTAAATCTCCTGCCTGTCACTGCAACATGGGCAGATTTCTGCAGACATGTGTGTGACAGAAGCCACCCAGAGCTTCATGGGGAAAGTGTTCTCTGCTCTTAGAAGTCAGACACACAAATTGGTCCCTTTCCATAGCAAGGACACCAGAGACAGCAAACCACAAACATTGTAGAAATTTATAAATGACTACCATTGAGGCTTAAAATTTCACATAATCTTCTTTGACCATCCAGTCAGAAGTGACCTATCTACAACTGGAGAACTCCAAGCACATTCTCTGCCCCTCTCTCACAGAACAAAACACTCGAGAGTCTTGGCTGACGTGTCTCTCGCTCACTAAACAGTGCACCGCCTGAGAGCTGAGACTGTGCCTCACTCACTGTTTCCCCACAGTGCCCAGCATAATGTCTGCACAAGGTAGATTCTTTACTGTGATTGTCAAATGAAGTTACCTGGAAATGTAATGAGCTAGATCTGGAGTGACCTATATGTGGGCAATCTGGGGAGTCAGTAGAAGATTATTATCTGAGACCAGTATATAATAATTACTCATTTTTACAAGAATCATTCATCTCTAATCATAAAGTCCCTCCTTCTTTAAATATCTTTAGAAATAGGAACCAGAAATGGGTTTGGGGAGTTGGGGAACTGCTCATTACTAGGAAAGAATGACAGATTCTGGCTGGATATAATTTTCTGACATTTGCTTCAGGATGGGTTTACTTTGGTCCTCAAAGAGGTATGAAATCTGACAAACCCCAGACAGAAGGAAGGATGACTGGAATGAACTGCACCAAGATGTAGTGGGTTTCCCGTCACTTAACGGTATCCCATTAAAGCAGCCGCATGCAGGATCTGGCTCATACTTTCTCGTGAGAAGTTGCTGTTACTGTCTCTTCCTAATTCTGCATTCATGGATATTGTGTTGGTAAATTGAAACCAGCCATGGTGGGACTATTTATACCATGGAAACTGACAAACTGCAAATCAAGACTTTTTTTTACTTTCTCCAGAGAGCCACTTGTTAAACATTTACCAGCACACCACTGATTCATTCAAAGCTAAATGACCAGTATTACGAAAATCTGTAGATGAAATCCTGCACTAAAACATCATCTCAAGACATTTGGTAAGATAACTTCTAAGGCTCCTCGAGCGCCAAGGTTTCAAAACATCTCTTATCCCAGCTGGAGACAGAGGTCCCATGCCTGGGATTGTTGCTGTTCGTGGTGGTATCACTGCCAGGTTCCCAGGTCTGGCCACCCTACCTGTTTAATTATGGACTTAGCCGAAGTCTGGATCCAACACTACCATTACAGCCAGACCCCAGCTCAATAAATGCAGCTTCAGCATCTGGCAAGCAATCCCTCTCAGAGCCCGGTGCTGGCAGATGCCTTGAGATGATTTCCTGATCTGTGGCACGAGAATGTTCCACCAGCTCCACTGCAGTTATGGAACAACCCTGGATTCTACACACTGGTACACCCACAGAGGCCAGAGGGCAGGGTCACAATCACTAGAGTTTTCCTGCAGACAGAGGGCACCTTTCAGAGGCCAGCCCCAGGAATCCTGTTCCCATGTGGAACAGAGACATGGGGAGCCACAGAGAGGAAGGATGGGCACGTGGAGTCAGAGGAGACACAGACAGAGGCAATTAGCAGTTGTCATAAAACAAAGCTGCAGCAACAGCAGCACTTGCTGCCTGGGGGACACTCAGCTTCCTCTTGGGAATAAGGAATTCATCTGGCTCTAGAGTTCTTGGTCTTTAGAGCTGCATCTTCCCTGAAGAAATGACTCTCCCCCATGTGGCTATGGCTACTTGGTTTCTTCTTAACACAGTGGCACAGCCCAGGCCTGGCATGCAGCAGATTCTTCAAAAGTATTTGCCTAGTGAGCAAACAAAGGTAGCAGCCATTGGAGCCCTGCTTGGGCTTGTCAGACTTCATCCCCCTTTGAGGGTCCAAACAAGCTCCTCTCCTCCAGAAGGCCTTTCCAAACTCAGGTGTCAACTATGTCATCCATCCAGGACACCACTGAACCCCAAATCACTGCTTTCCCTTCTCAAAAATCTCCCAATGCAAGTCAGTCTTTTATGATCCTCTCTTTGGGCTTGTCTTGTTTCCTCAGGGAAATCCTGAGCCGCTGGAAGGCAGGGCCCAGGCCTTCTCTTTCTCTAGTGTCCTTCCATGGTTTTGAGCTCAGCATGATATGGACATATCATAGGAGCCCCATGACCCCATTTTGATTGGTCATTGGCCAGGACTTCCACTCCCTGGGCCACAGCTCAGAGGGTATTTCGCCCTTCCCTCCTGAATGGTTTCTCCTAGGTGATTTGGAAGAGATGCCTGTTATTTACACTTGGCAGGGTACACTGGGTCGCAGGACGGACCTCGTGCCAGCATCGTCTCCTTGGTGGTTAACAGAAGTGTCCACCACATCCCTCACGAGGAGGCAGCATAGCCCACAGGCCAAGCATACACAGCACCCCATATCACCTACTCAAGGCTAGAATGGGATCTGCCTTCTTACCTTATGTTTGGAGAGCAAATAGGACTGGTGACAGATAGAGCCACGGGCAAGGTACCCCCACAGCACAGCAACAGAAATGGAAAAATCACTTGGCCTTGCCCAATTCTAACTTAGTCTCTGAAAATAGCTCAAACTCTGGGAAAAATGCACGTACCTTCCCTGATACCGAGAGAATTCGGAAATTACGCGAGGAATATGTTAGCCATTTGTCAATATAGGACTTTAATTAAGTTTTTAAAAATTTTTAAAGCTCACAGTGTTTATGCAGATTTTAAAACTAAGCAAACAAGATATTTGCCACATCACTGAGGCAAGAAGAGGAAAGGAAAATCAGTCTCTCTCTCCGTTTGATTAAAAATCTGAATCCAGAAAAATTAGTTTTCATTGCCAATTCTCAACTTTGTACCACGAGAGTGGACTTGTTTGGTTCAGATGAGACACTATTAGATCATCCTCACAGCTACATGTCTACTGCAGTCTGCTTGGGCTGCCACAATAAAATGTGTGTCTTAAACAACAGAAATGTGTTTTCTGACAGTTATGGAGGCTGGAAGTTCAAAATCAAGAGATGGCATGGTTCTGGAGAGGGCTCTCTTCCTGCCTTATAGGGGACTGCCTTCTTGCTGTGCACTCACATGGACTTTTCTGGCATATGCACTGAGAGTCAGGGCAGAGGGAGATCTTCCTCTTTTTATAAGGCCACCAACCCTATTGAATTAGGACCCTATCCTTATGACCTCAGTTACCTTAGTTACCTCCTGAAAGCTCTATCTCCAAATACAGTTACTTTGGGGGTTAGAGCTTCAATATATGAGTGAGGCAGGGGGCACAATTCCTTCCTAGCACTGTCTGTGATGAGTTTCACTATGCCTCAAGTACACAGTTCTTCCAGCCCAGGCACCTTTCTCATGGGCGTTGTGTCTGTGAGTAAACTGTACAGCCCATTTTCTTAAAAGAAATCTATAAAAATAATTTCCATCCACAGTCTGTCGTCTTCCCCTTGCGCAGATCAGCTGTCCCGCCCCCCTACTTGCCATCATTATTAAACTGCAGAGATAATTGCCCGTCTTAGGGCTGCAGTCCTCCTACATAACCTGAAGCCATTGCCATTTGTCACAGCGGATCATTTCTTGAACTCTGACAGCCAGCCCTGGAAGCAGGAAGAATGCTCATTTTCCTCACCCTGCTGGAGCTTCAGAAAAAACTCAGCTCAAAATAGATGCTATTGAAGCAGGAGACACATGAGGAGGTACACAGCCTATCAATACCTCAACACCGGCCTCTCCTCGCCCTCCAGTCCTACTGACGGAGGCGTGAGAGCCACTGCTGGAGGCTTTGTAATCCAAAGCCATTAAGTATTCATGGGGCTGGCACCCACAAATAGAAAATGAATTGGATTGCTCCCTTTCAAATTAGTATAATGACATTATCTGGGAAATGATGATTTAAAAAATAGTTCAAAACATGGGTTTGAATGTTCTTCCTACCATTCTGCCCAGGCTGTTCTCTATTTTTTACAATAGAGAAAATCCTCTATACTTCACAATCAATCCCTGAGCACTCTGAAGTTTACCTTCTAGGTATTTTTTGACTTTTCCTCTCTTTGACATTCCATCTACCCCTTCTCAATTTCCAGGCTACCACTCCTGCTCCCACCTGGGTAAACACATCTGCCTCCTAACGGGTCACTGTGTCTCCAGGTTCCCTTCTCTAATCCATCCTCCACACAGAAGCCTGAGTCAGCCTTCTAAGACAGCAACGTTCCTTGCATTGTTCCTGCAGGAAACCTTTTGGTAGCTCCCCATGTCCCTCAAGACAAAGCCTATGCATTGTAGTATGACTGACAGAGCCTCCTATGATCCGGTCATCCTGTTAACTCATGATGTTGCGAAGGATCAGGCCTCCAGAGGATGCTGCAAGACAGTCAAGCCACGTGTGTTGTCACACTGAAGTTAGCTTTACACATCTCTTTCATCCTCATCCTCAGGAGGCCAACAACCACATAGGTAGAGGGGCTCTGAAGAAACACAACATGGAGGCACTTGCTTGTCTCTAAGCAGGAGGTATCTAAATCATATGCTGAGGGCTGACATTGGCTCAGAGACCTCCCCCTCCCCTGGGATGGACTTCAAAAGCAGCAGTGTTTTAGATAAAGACCAAAAATATTCCACAGGAAGTTACACCCATTGAAATTTACACTAAAGGTGGGATTGAGAAACTCTTTAAATCATGTGGCTGTCCTCCACACAGGGATAAACTGCAAAGCAACCTCATCGAACAGCATTTTAAATCAATCATCCTCAAAGCAGATTCTCCTCTCTGGAGGAGCCCTGTTCCATTCATCCGCAATTGCAGTTGTCATTTTGCACAACATGAGAATGACTTTGACAGTTATGCTGATCCGGAGAGAGGAAAGGGGACAAGTCAAGCAGGGCAGATTAGTTCTGGAAAATTAGGCATTTGCTGGGTCACCCTGGGGCTTTCAGCTTTGAGTTTGCCCTCTCAGAGCATTAAGTAGGCCTGAAACATTTCTAAAATGAGAACTATTATAGTGCCAGTTGCACAGAGCAATTCTTGAGCTGCCAAACAGATGGGAGCCGTGTGGAGATCAAAGGCTGCCAATATCCCAAAGGCACAAGCTATGGCTCCACCTCCATATTTTGGACACAAAAGTTGGAGCATAACCTGGGCACTCCGAGCCCACTTCCCAAGAAACACATCAGTCCATTGAAGGAATCCCACCATGAGGAACACAGAGCCAATCAACATTTTGAATGAGGAAGCCCCTCTTGCAGACTATTTCCCTTTCTTACTTTCCATTCTCCAAACCATGCCCAAAATGCTACCTGAAGAACCCCACGCTCAGCACGGCTGACCTTTGATCATCATAAAGCTACCCACAACACTGTCTATTTCTCCAAAGGACAAACCTGCATGCCTCTAAATGGAGGCTTTCCGCTGGAAGTTCAGGGTTGATGCAGGAAGAGAAGGACTCAAAGGCTCTGGCATATTCCCTGCCTTCTATCTGATACAACAGTGTAGAGATGACGCTGCCAGCTTCAGACCACGCCCAGGTCCAGAAGCGTTATTGCTAAGTATCTGGGATGTGCTCATTAGAATAGTACTCAGCCTAAGGCCGGGCACAGTGGCTCATACCTGTAATCCCAGCCCTTTGGGAGGCCAAGGCAGGCAGATCACTTGAGGTCAGAAGATCAAGACCATCCTGGCCAATGTGATGAAACCCCATCTCTAATAAAAATACAAAAATTAGCTGGCTTAGTGGCAAGCATCTGTAATCCCAGCTACTCAGGAGGCTGAGGTAGGAGAATCACTTGAACCTGGGAGGCGAAGGTTGCAGTGAGCCAAGATCATTCCACTGCACCCCAGCCTGGGAAGACAGAGCATGACATCTCAAAAAAAAAAAAAAAAAAAAAAAAGTGCCCAGTGTAACAGTCTTTCCCTGCTCTCACCTCTTATCCTTCCACCCTGACCACTAGAAGAAAGAGGAATGTTTAGTTTCTAAAATTCCATCCATTGGCTTTATCCCGAGGTCCCTCTCCCTGGATGCTCAAGTCAAGGCTCTGCCTATTTTTGCTGGAGTCTGGGTTTCCTCATCCCCATGAGAACGAGCATAGCTATGGCAGTTTTCTCCAAACTCTCCTCATGGTGCTGAGTGCTTATGTCTCAAAGCTAAGGAAGAGATTTTTCTTAGAAAAAGCAGCAGAAGAAGCCTTTCAAGGAGGCCTCCTGGGATTACAGCAGAGGCAGAAAGAAGCCAGCCAAGCCCATGTGTCTAAGAGAGTTTGCTGAGCCCAGGGGTACCCTCCAGCACATACAGGTTCCACATCAGCAGAAAGAAAACTATGACCTGCCTCCCCAGAACTCTCAGTGACCTCCGTTATTCTAGCTAAGCCATCCATTTCTTGGCATATGCATGCTCCCTTCCTAAGCTGTGGGTAAGAACAAATCCTCCTTGTGGAGGTGAAGAGGATCATCCACTGGGTTCCCGGCAGGTGCACGAGGATGGTCTGATCAGATCATGAGTGTCTGAGGTCTTGTGGCAGGTACCTGTGGCAGTCACTGCTGATGCCTTGCCCATTCCTCCTTGACTCATCATTCTCATGTCAACCCTATGGCTTCCAACTGTTTTCAGCAGGCTCCTGATAGTCTCTGCCCTAGGGTTTTCTCTGGCCAGCGGGCCCACTCAAATCATGTGCAGAGCAGGCCAGAAGTGCTGAGGAGTTAACACCCCCCACCAATGAGAGCAACCCTCCACCCATGATGGATAGGGAGTTGAAAGATCAATGCCTCAGATCCCTCACCCCTTGGTTGCGATAACTCTGATCACATTTCACAATCTCCCAGAGCTCTTGGGCCTGATGAATCCTCAGGTGCCCACAGCACCAGCCTGCTAGCTAACACACTTTTTATTGACTTCTTTCCCTTTCGTCTCTTACTTCCTCACTCCACATTCCACCCCCACCTCCCAGGGTCTCTTGGGATTAGAGGCCAGGTCTCTGTGCTTCAAAGCCCAAGATCATTTATAACACCAGGCTGACAACCACCCCCAACCCCCGTGTATCCAGCTGCCCCTCAGAGGCAGCCCCCAAAGTTGGGCACTGTAGGGTCCTGTGCTCAGAGCCCATACTGACCTGGGAGGCCACAGCTTAGCCACGAATGCTGCATTCCTGGCATTCCATGCCTGTTTTCTGCATTCAGATCCCAACCCAGGTGTTTGGCTATACATCCAACATCTAGCAGGGTTTTTTTTTTTTTTCCTTCTTTCTTTCTTTAAGCTGGACTGCTTAAAAAGAAAAAGAAAAAAAAGTAAAGGGCTATAATGGTGGAGATTCTGGCACTGGATGACCCTTCAGGGCCATTCCAACCCTGAATTTCTGTGAAATGATCCACAGCAGCCCAAGGCAAAATTGGATCTATAATGAAGTTTCTCCCCCTTAAAAAGTCACAGTTTAATGGCTATTCTAATTGTTGGGGGATTTATGAAAAGAGACCGCAGCCTAATTCTGGAAATTAACCTAGCACCAGCTGCAGCTTCCTGGCCCCAGTGCTGTGGACATATATCCTTGTCTTCACACATATGCTCATCTGGACATGGGGTGGTCTCGGGGGGCTGAGGCATGCAAGATGAAATCCCACAAATCTCCATTATTAAATCCATGATATATTTCAAATCCCACCCTCCATCTTGGTAATGACGCCTCTGACATCCCTCCAAAGCAGGAGGGAGGGAGGACAGGTGGGAACAAAAGAAGGAGAGAGGTTCCCCTTCTGTTTGTCCCATATCTACCATCTCTGATCTGTCATATTCCTGGGTGCAGTGAAGGCATTTCCATCCTCTGAGACAGGTCACGCAGAGACAGGGACTGCTAAAGAGACTGCCACCCATTGACTGATATAAATCTGCCCAATGTCACTGCCCTTTGGTCCCATATTCTCAGGCTGCCTTACACTAAACCAGATCCACTGGGACAATCTCTCCAGAAGACCTCTGGGACCCAAACTTGATCTTACCCCTCTTCTGTTCTTTTCTCCTCCAACAACTTACCTTTTCCCCTCTCCATAAGCAGATATATGGAAAGTCCCTTAAATCCCAAGTAGAGTCCATCAGAAAATAACCCAGCCTTAGACAGGGACCTTCGAGATAGTCTGTGTTTGTCTAAAACCTCTGAAGGGTTCTCCCCAGGCTCCTTGGGGTATGGATTGACCTCCTTCTGTAGTTACAGTACCTCCATGAAAAGGTTTTGGAAGTCTTTACTAAGACACAGATGGGCAATTGGGAAATTTGCAGTTATGCAGAGAAATTAGGAATCTTAAGACTCCACCTCTAACCCCAGAATGTCTTTCATGAGTAACATCCCCACAATCACCTCCCCAGATCCTACTCATCCTTCAAAACCCAGCCAAATGCCACCTTCTCCAGAAGAGAAGCCTAATTCCCTTTCCACACTTCCCTGAGCCACCCTCCTCAGGTGGTGCCTCACATCACCCTCACTTGTGTGCGTGCCTCAGCAATCTCAGTGGGCATGGGGTTCACGGTGGACAGGGCCTATGTCTCTCATCTCAGGCCCCAGTCCCCACTCCCAACAGTGCTTAGAGTCTTTCTGCTGAGAGGAGTTGCTCCACAAATGTTAAAGGAGGGAGGTGGGTAAAGGAATAACTTTCAGGTCCCACCATGACAGGAGTGACCATGGGAGGGCATTCAATGATGCCCTTGCCTCCTGACATGAACACTAAAATATGCTGTATATGTACAATGCAGTAATAATAAGACTGGGTGCCTATATCACCACCAGCTCACTGCAGCAAATGACTCCGCAACAAAATGGAGATGGGAGGGAAAGAAAGGAAGGGTGATGAGTAGGAGGGAAGGAGAGTCCTTGTACCAGTCAGGGCCCAGTCAAAAAACCATTAAGTACCTTCATAGAAGGGTTTTAAGACAAAGTACAAGTTCCAGAGTATTGGAAGAGCAGAAAGACCACACAGGGAGACACGGGGCCAGCCAGAGCTCAGCACTAGCGGGAATATGCTACCACTTCTAAGACAGTAGGTCAAAGGAAAGAGGTGGCATGACTAGAGCCCAGGAGGCAACCACAGTCATGACCTGGGCCCACAAAGAGACTGAGAGAGGCCGTCCATGGATAACAGAGCCACAGTGGGGATGTAGCCATTGTCCTAGACACCGCCCCAAACAGACATGGGGAAAAATGCCCTGGCTTCTTCCTTCTTCCCACCTCCATTCTCCCATTGGTGCCTCCATTGGCCCAACATAGCCAGAAGCCAAAGGCAAGGGGGCCTGAGAAATGTAGCTTGAGCAGTCAACCACCCCATGGAGCACACAGAGCAGGGGCTGACATGGGTCTGAGACCAGCAGTCCAAGGACCAACACTCTGCTTTCATTTCTCCCATAGTAAGCACTTTCCTCCCTCTGCAAGATCCTGGGTTCTCCTTTTTTCACGGATGGGCTCCTTTCTCCCTAGGCTTCTCCCACCTCCTATGCTGGGCCAGGCCATAAGTGGGACTACTTCTATAGGTCTGTTGCCAGAAGGTAACCAGCAGGCCCAGGTGGGTGGCCAGCTGGACCCTGGATGGTCAGTCCCTGATCGAGGAGCACCAGAAGGTCTGGTCTGGCCAATCTGGGATTGACGGCAGTGTGGGCAAAAATCACCCAAACTCAGCAATAGGCCCAGGGAAATTCGGAACTCCCAGCTCTCACACCCCATCCCCCACATTCCAATGGGCCCATAAAGTCAGCTTTCTCAGGGTCATATAGTTGACCTGAACTCTCAGAACTTGTTTGGAGGCATAGATCTGGGCATTACCCTCCAATTCATTCTGAAGAGAAGCACCAAAGTGGTTTTGCCCACATTAGAGAGGAATTAGGAAGGCTGCTTTGCAGAAACATGCACACACATGCACACACACACACACACACACACACTTATGTACACACATGCATGCTAGAATTCTCCGGATATTTCCCCAAAGCTCTCCTTAAAATGGATTCCTTTTTTTCCCCTGGATAAGCCAAGGTTTTGGCTTGAAGGCCCAATGTTCTAACGTTAAAAAGCCACTCTTCACCAGAAACACACTTTAAAACCTGGGAGCCAGTAATGCTGGGAACAATTGACTCTGACATTTAAGCAGAGCTCACGCATCCATGGATGTTTACAGGATGACATGGAAGAAATTCCACTTTGCAGAAAAACAGCTGGGTGTGGAAAAGCACTGTTTATACTTGAGCATCTGCCTCAGGAATTTGACACTTTAAATAAGCTCATTGCCACCCACCTTGTCCAAAGGTTCATCAGAGAGTGGAAAAGGGCTGGTGAGGGCAGGCAGGACTGGCCAGGCAGACTCAGGGCCCTGGCATCCCAGCCTCGCCATCCTGAGTTGGCCTAGCCCCACCATTATCCTAACCCATTGTCCTGAGGTTTGCTCCATCAGGTTCAGCCTGGGTTTTAGGGCCTACCATTGACTTTTGGAGAGCACAAGGGATGCCAAAACACAGGAGATGGGGCAGTGGTGGCCACTCAGCTCATCTAAAGGAATTCTTTCTTGGGGCCTGGAGATACCTACGGGAGAGAGTTACTGAACTGGCTACGCTCCCAGAACGTGCCCACTCCTGCCCCTCACCAGGATGTGAAGGCTGACGCAGTGGGACTCTGAGGGTCTCCTTCCTGGTGGTTGTCACAGCCAATACTAGAGAAGAGAGTCTAGGGAGGTTTGTCTCCTGCATTCTTGCTTGTCCTATCAATGACCTCCTTCCCCCTGTTCTACCTGGGGGCACCCCTGAAGGCCTTAAAAACACCCAGAACTCCCAGATACCACAAGCCTGCCATGAGGGATCTTGGGAGCAGATGCATACCAACAAGGAACTAAACCTTAAGCCCCAGAGCTAACACCTGAGTGAGACTGCAGAAGCGGGCAATCCAAGTTGGGTTTTGCCAATCCATGTCCCACATCTCAGAGAGCTGGAGGGCCACGTCATGTCCCACAGAGTCTGTGGGAGTGCAGCCATCTAGGTGTGGATGAAAAGGACCCTGACCAAGAGCTCTAGAAACAAGTCTGCCTCCAGTGAACTTGTCTAGTGAGGAACTGTGACCTCCTCCAGTCCCAAGGAGGGACTGCCCATATTGCCAGCCACATCTCTGCTGTCCCTACCCCACCACTCCATGCCCCTCCTTCATCTGCTCTAAAGGCTCCTCCACCTTCACAGCACACAGCAGGGGCACTGTTGTGCTGTGGGGCCTCTGTGCCTGCACCCATGCCTTTCCTCCTCCTGCAGGGCTCTTCCCCACCCAGAAAACCCTTCCCTTCAGGGACCAGGTTAACTGTCACTTCTGGGAGGCCTTTCCTCATCTCATCCTCACCTACCAGGGCCACACCCTTCCCCAAATCAGGGAAACCCCTCCTTCTTCTGATCACCATGGCTGCTATCGCCCTTGTCTTGAATAAAAGACAGTGAGGACCTCTGAGCACATGGCTCATCTCTCCTGTGGACAGAGAGCCCCACAAGGACAGGAATCAGAATGCCAGTCCCAGGCCTGGCACAGTGATATTCCACAACTCAGTTCATATAAAGAGAAGGAAACCACATCACTTCATTGTATTAGCAATGCTTTGTCACCTGACTGGGATGGACAGCGTTCCACAAATCTGACCTGTTGGCCACAGACATGAAAACAATCTTCTCCATCATCTGATTCAGCCAAGAAAACGCCAAGCCAGCTGCACCAGCCAAAAACAATCACTGTCTTTTCCATGTATCTACAGACTCAAACACGCTTCAAATAAGCATCGACTTTTGATAAAGCTCCTCTGGGTTTGAACTAATTTAAGGGGTTCCCCACCTTGCTACTACTCATTTAAAATGACACATAAAAACAGACAAATCATCAAGGCATATTCACTTTACAAAAGGCGGGCAAAGAATCCCAGTTTCCCTGGAACAGCATTTGCCAAACAGTCATTTTCACACCATTGCTGCAATTTTTTCTGACTTCATCTATTTACCATCTACACTATTATTTATTTTATATTTCTCTTCCATATTAACATGAAAATGACTTTTACTTAAACTTAGTTACTCATTTAATGCATTTTCTTTTTCTTAACAGCCACTAAAACAAACACAAAACAATTGACATTTCTAAAAGTCTGTTGAGAAACTAAAATCTTTTTGCCTCTCCACTGGGTCCTGCGTGTCCCACTTGCGGGTGGCCCCAGTTTGCCCTGCCAGCCTCTAGATGCGCTGGGATGGAATATCAACACTCCGCCCCACCC